ATAGTATTTTCTTTCCTACTTGATCTACTGATATCTTCCACTATAATTAACAGAATCAGTAAGACAGGGCATCAATTCTTTGTTCAAGATTATGGGAAACAGATTTTGTTTTTCTCGGTAATTTAGAATGATCATTGTGCAGACTTAATCATATAAGATATTTATTATGTTTGAGCATTTTCACAGAAAAATGCTCTTTATTCTCTTTCCTATTTATGATGTTATAATGTTCATTGCATTGATTTATTTTCATATGTTGTGCCATCTTCACATTCCAGGATGAAAAACCATTGCATCTGGAACATAATTCATTTTGGATTATGTAGTTGTTGCTATTACTACAGACTTACAAAAACAGAAAATCAATAGGATATGGACCAGAATGGAATTGGGGCTAGATAAAAGCAAATTATTCATGAAAATATTTTCACTTTCATTTTTTTTTAATGGAAAATGTGGTAGAGAATATACTCTAGATATGCTGAGGAAATACAAGAGAAATGGAAAGTAGTGGAAATTATATAGGTAGAAGTTTTATTAAATAAAATGTCATTTTGTGACCACTTGAGATGTAGAGTCAGATATGATAGAAATGAATGAGCTTAAGGAAGTATCTATTAGTTGTTAAACAGAATGAGAGTTTATGAATCAAATGTTAATCAAGAGTTAAAGAGAAAACATGAGAGAACATCAAACATTAAGAATGTGAAATTCTCAGAAAAGACATAATAATATTATTTTTGTGTAGATAATGCTAGTATTTTAATCATAGAGGAAGCATATTGGAGTAATTTCCTTACTTATGTGGACAACAGTGGGTGATCAGTAGATCAAAGTTGTATAGTTCATGGCTAATTGACTGCATTAAATCATATTAGATCACACAACGTTCCATGTAAAGCTAATAATTAAATCCTGCCCTTTTTAGTAGGCTGAAGATCTGAGGGCTTAATGGAATAGAGGCTGCTATACCGCAGGTTCAGAGCAAAATACATTTTTCATCTACTCAATTTTCTTTCCCATATAACATCCTGGAGGTAGACAAAAGAAGAACCATAAAAGTATGTGTAGGTATGTCAAGGTTTGTCCCATTTTTATGAATGTTGCCTCATTTTGCATATGGCTATTTTACTCTGCAAAGACCTCAGTTACTTTTCATGGAATGAAAGACTCAGGGATTAAACTCTTTATCTTCCAAATGGATTGGAACAGCAGCATATGTTTAAACTTTTTTCTACTATTTATATTACTTTATTTCAATGAAAATTGTATTGCTTGAGACAAATTTCCAGAGGAGGGGAAAACAGAACATGGAAATTTTTACTTCCTTCCTTGGAACCAAACATATGTGAAAAAAGTATTGCCTTATTTAAATTTCACTTTCAATATAAATAACAATTTAAACCCTGTTGTTTATATCTTTCTATAAATGCACTTAGATTAACTGTGTGCTCTAAATCTGACAGCATTAAGTCCTCTGTCTCTTCCAGATGTCCAATGATTGACAGAATTACTTGTAAACTTTGACTCCAGGACAACTGGAGATGACATTGAAAATATGCTTTTGAGAAAAATGAGTGGAGAATATTACTTCCACAGGTGGAAGTGTTCTTATGGATGTTTATGCAAAGAAGACTTCAAGTGATTTACTTTTAGAATCTAGCTTAAAATTAACCTCCTCAATAATAGCTCTGGGAACATTTTACTTTCTACAGTAATGTTTGATTACTTCACAACCTCTCATTGTCTATTACCAAACCCAACATGATCTCTTCAAAAATACTTTGGGATTTGTATTCATTTTTAACTTTTCATGTCCACTTAGATTTTTTCCTAACCCTAGCCTTGAAATACAGCATTTGTCAGAACAAACTAGATATAGAAACTTCTATCTTTTAAGGCACCAGCATCAAGTTTCCATAACAGCTCATAACCATGACAGATTATTCTTTCTTTCTTTTTTCACTACCTAATATTGTCAACACGTTCCCCCCAGGTTAATCTCTGCTAAACTTAAGACAAAATAAGAGTCAACAATGTCTTAATTTTTTATTTTAAGACATTCATTTATCAATCACCTAGAATGAAAGAAAGCAGTAGAGATGTGTACAGATGAACATGCACACATTAAATACAAGTATACTTTTTATTTGGGGCATAGGTGTTCAGGATTGTGACTTCCTCTTGATGGACTTTTCCTGTGATGAGTATGAAATGCTCTTCTTCATCTCTTTTTTTGATTTTAGATTGAAGTCTAATTTGTTAGACATTAGGATGGCTACACCAGCTTGTTTCTTGGGTCCATTTGATTTGAAAGTCTTTTCCCAACCCTTTACTCTGAGGGAATGTCTGTCTTTGACATGAAGGTACCTTGATAGAGGGAGACAGTACAGGATAGGAGAGAGGTCTGGCACAGGGGAAATGTAGGGGATCCACAGGGATTTTCCCAATTAAGAATCCAGGCAGTGGTGGAGAGTATGCAATTCCTCCATACTAGAGAATGGCAGAGAATGATGTCTACCTTGGTTATTCCTAGAGCCTTCATTCAGTAGCTGTTCAAAGCAGAGACAGAGACCCACAGCTAACCACTGAACCATACTCCTGGAATCTAGTTGTGGAGAGGGAGGAGGGATGAGCAAAGAAGCAAAGATGGTGCTAGAGAAACCACAGAAACCATTGACTTCATTTACTGAGAGCATGGAGACCCTATTCATAAAGCTGGGGAAACAGCATTGGACTGAACCAAGCCCTCTCACTGTGGGTGCCAGCTAGTAGCCCAAGGCAGTCTATGGAACCTCTAACAATGGAGCCAGTGTTTATCCCTAGAGCACAAATGGACTTTGGGAGCCCATTCCCTATGGAGGGATAATAATGCAGCCCAGATGCAGCAAGGAGGGCCTAGGCCCACCCCCAAATGATATGACAGACTTTGAAGCACTGTGGGTGCCAGCTAGTAGCCCAAGGCAGTCTATGGAACCTCTAACAATGGAGCCAGTGTTTATCCCTAGAGCACAAATGGACTTTGGGAGCCCATTCCCTATGGAGGGATAATAATGCAGCCCAGATGCAGCAAGGAGGGCCTAGGCCCACCCCCAAATGATATGACAGACTTTGAAGGTCCCCTGTAAAGGGCCTCACTATCCCTGGGGAGGAGTTGGGGCATGTTTTGGGGGGGTTGGTGTGGAATATGAGAAGATCTGAGGGTGAGGGAATAGGGGTATGGATATATAAATATGAGTAGTAATTAAAGAATTTAAATAAAAATCTGTATAATAAAAAAAGATAAATAAATACAAGTACACACTCAAGTATATACATATACCTGCACACATGCACACACATCACTCTATTCTCTATTTCTGGTCTCCAAATTTCACATGATGGAAGTATCTTGATCCCACATCTTCCCATCCCCACTCCCCTCCCTTGTATCCTCCTCCAAGTTTACTCAGGAGATCTTAACTGTTCTTCCTTCCTAGGGCCCTCCAAGTGTGTGATCTCATTATCACCATTTACCAACAATATTATATTACTTTCAAGAAATGCGGTGTGTCCGGTCAAGGTCAGGTTAACACCAGCTTACAAGACATCACTATGTGCATTCAACCTTTCTTAGGCAATCATAAATTAGTTTCGAAGACTATGAAATAATTACTTTTCTTACCTCATATAAGTAACTTAACTCTAAATGCTTACTGGATACTTTACTTCAATTTATAAGCACAGAAAAATAATTAATATTCTTTAAAAATAAAAATAGAACAAAAATAAGCTGTGAAACTTCTTGACATTTGGACTGATTTCCCTGTAACAGACTATTTCTAACAAGACCAAACTAATCCCACTAAATTGTTCTCTATCAAATACTGTTACACTTTATATAACATACATAATACATAAAAGTTACATTTTATATTGAAAATGGTGATTTTATAATGTAAATGATTTTCTGAGGGGCTATATAACCTACATACATTATTTTAAGTATGTTGTATTTGGTTTTGACCTGGAGTATACTCATATCAGAGGATGTTTCTAAAATACCAAGATCAAAATTTGTCCTAAATTTTTTATTTCGTTCTTTCCATTGTCTTATTTAAATTACAAACAAGAATGTTTTACATGCCAATCCCAGTTCCCTCTCCCTCCCCTTCTCCCCTGGCCCCCACTAACACCCTACCTATCCAATACCATTTCTGCTCCCCAGAGAGAGTGTGGCCTTCTGGGGGGGTCTTCAGAGTCTGTCATATCCTTTCAGATAGGGACTAGGCCCTCTCCCATGTGTCTAGGCTGAGGGAGTATTCTACTATGTGAAATGGGCTTCCAAATTCCATTCCTGTGCTAGGGATAAGTGCTGATCTACTTACTACAAGAGGCCCTATAGGTTTTCGAGGCCTCCTCAGTGAAACCCACAATCATGGGGTCTGCATCAGTTCCATGCTATTTTCCCAGTGATCAGTCTGGGGGCCAAGTGTTCCCCATTGCTCAGGTCAGCTGTTTCTGTGGGTTTTACCAGCCTGGTCTGGACCTCTTTGCTCATCACTCCTACTTCTCTGCAACTGGATTCCAGTTCAGTTCAGTGTTTAGCTGTGGGTGTCTTCTCCTACTTCCATCAGCTGTTGGATGAAGGCTCTAGGATGGCATATAAATTAGTGTCACCAATCTCATTATCAGGGGAGGACATTTAAGGTAGCCTCTGCACTGTTGCTTAGATGGTTAGTTGGTTTCATCCTTGTAGATCTCTGGACATTTCCCTAGTGCCTGATTTCTTGAATGTATTTTCCACACAGAAATTAAGTGAATGATCCATATTTTTTTTAAAAAAATGTTACCAGGTGGTAGTGGTGCATGCCTTTAATCCCAGCAATTGAGAGTCAGCAGCAGACAGATCTCTATGAGTTCGAGGCTAGTCTGGTTTGTTGTAGGTGACCCTGCTCATAAACCCCTTTCGGGAGGGGATGAGAAGACACAACACAAATGACTCAGCCACTGGAAGTCAGTGATAGTAGAGCATGCTGCCGACACAGACTCATTTATTAAAGAAGTTAGGCCTGCCTTTATACTCCCTCCCAAGGTCCCAGTGTCTCAGGTGGCTGACTCTGTTGTGTTGTCCTTTTGTCATTGCTATCCATGATCAGCAGTCTCTGGGCATAGAGGCAGGCTTGGCCCAGGAAGGAAGTGCCTGCTGCACAAGTGCATGCTCATGCAGACTGGTCTGGGCACCGGGTACAGAGCTACTGTGGCTTAGGTATGTTGGTCAGCAGTTTCTTTTGCACTGGTCTACAGAGTTCCAAGACAGCAAGGACTACACAGAGAAATCCTGTTTCAAAAAACAAAAACACAACAAAGAAAAAATTTGTATGTTTCCTAGAATGTTTTTGCAAAGTGTTGTCTATTTGGGTTGTGATGAAAATGAAATATAATATCCCCTTAATATTTTTAGATACTGCCCATTGTTTAAGGTGGAATACTGGATTTCCCTAATATCATCCACGAATAAATCTCCTTTTAATTCAGTTAATTAATATATTTTAACTTATTTATCCAATGTTGAATATGTATATATTTATATTCACAATTGTTATTTTATCTTAATGAGTTGTACCCTTTATCATCATAATTATATTTTCTTCCAATTATTATAAAAGTTCAGTTGCTTTATTTATTGGAAATAGAGTTTTAACAAAAATAAAGAAACTAAAATTTGGGTACAACCACAAAATCTTAAACATTAAAAACCAATTTGGAGGAAAAGAAACACAGTGGGAGTGATCACACTCTCTAATTTCAACCTGCATTGAAAATCATGTAGTTATAATGGTTGGAAAACAGATGCATATAGAAGTAGATCCATAGAGACTACAAAATGTACACATACCTGTAGGATCAAATGTATTGGTCTTGTGCTAACTACACCAAATGGCAAAAGAAAATCCTCTTCAAGAGATGGCCCCAGGAAACATAGTCAGGCCTATGCCAAAGAAGAATTTTTGAAGTCTTCTTTTAAACTAGTAGTTCTCTCTCTCTCTCTCTCTCTCTCTCTCTCTCTCTCTCTCT